GTGTGTGTGTGTGTGTGTCTCCCTGCAGTTTTAGTCGAATTGCAAGGGTGAACAAGGCCAGGGGCCCATATAAAATGCTGCACCTACAGTTCAGGCCTCATCATCAAATCAGGTGCTCCACTGATTGCATCCTGGAGGATGTGACGTGAGCAGTTCAGAAATCTTCACAACTGGCCGCTCCCACCCCCAAGTGAGTTCGTCTTTCTCGCTCCCAAGTCCTTGGCCTGCAGCATACCCAATTCGTTGGCCTGCAGCATGCCCCCAAGTCTGTTGCCTGCAGCATACCGAAGTCTTGGGCCTGCAGCATACCCAAGTCTTTGGCCTGCAGCATAGGTCTCCCTACCGGTAGTCCAGGAAGTTGGCGATTTGGATTACGTCCTTGGCATCTCCGACCCGTGGCCCGTGCCCCCTCACCATCTGTAGGTGTGCTATGTTATCCCTCCAGTACGGTGGACCCTAAATTTCTGAACCTCAAGCTTTTACGCCGAAACGAATCCGACCACCACCCTTCAGGCCCTTTCATCGAAAGTGAAGCCCCTGCTGTCTACAGCCACATGTTATGAACTTGGTTGTCTGACGAATTTATCGCCACTCACTCACACATAGGATCTGACACACGCCCATACATGTACCAGACAAGGGGGAGAGGATACAGAGTCCAAACTGCACACAGACAGAGATAAGCAGCGGAATTCAACCATGCACAGATGGGGAGAAGACACACAGTGTTTCTCACTCTCTGACAAACTCCCAACAACCAATCACAAGAAAGAACCTGCGAGGATAACAATTGGAATACACACTGATGATGAGCCAATTAACCAGAAATCGTTACAGAGTTTGTTCCAGTGTCTCGCCACTCTCAGAACCTCACACTCCACTCTCTACCCTACACCCAGTTAGTAGCGCCACATCAGAATGGCCTCCCAGAGGCCAGCGCCAACCACCCAGATGAAGAACAGATCCTGCGATGAAGTCTTCAGTGCCGCTGAACAACTCTGACGAAGAACCGGCAGCTATGGCTGCCGCCACCCACAAGGACTCAGTGAAGAGTCTTCACACAGCCCAGCCACTCGCAGAGGAACCCACAGGGGTTGGTGCGCAGAGGATGCCCCAGCTATGGCAAGTCCTCAACACGCTGGCTATGGCTGCTGTCCATGGTCAGGGTCTCAGGGTACCGCCTGCAGACAATCGCCGCTCCCAAAACTCTCCTAGCTCCAAACGCTGTATCGCGAAAATGAACTGCCAAAAGTCCCAACCCAATTCCCCAAACTATTAATAGACTCTATTTACTCTAGCCTAGACCTAGACCGGACGGACTGACCGACCGATACCATTTCGGTTTCGGCCCCTTGGCCTCTACTGGACCCGGCTATAGGCTATAGGACCGTCTATCAGCTTAGGCCCTTAGGGCCTGTCTGTCCTAGGGGTAGCCCGGGCCTGCTAAACGCAGTGAGGATAGCTGTAGGAAATTCGAAGTACTGCTGGGCCTATTTTTCCCATATTTGCAGATATGTCCCTCACGAATTTTCCTTACAGGTAGGTCTCTCGGTTAGCCCTCAGCCAAACAAAATTATGAATCTACCCTACTGCTGTACTGTACAGCCTCGCGGTTAGTCCCGGCAGTTGAAATCAGCAAGTCATTGCACACATGTATTGGAGGAGGGAGGCTGATACTGGTGGTCTAAAATGCGCAGTCTTTCTCACGAAGCACCTCCCTACACTCCTCTCCCCCTCTAGTCCTTTGTGGAGATGGCGCCTGTGCCCCCCCTCCCCCCCGTCTTCCTGTTGCTCCTGTTCACCCTAGCTCTTACTACTGGGGTTGCTCATGAGTCCCTGCCTTAGCAGTTGCAGTGGAGGACACCCCTACCCTCTTCCCTAAGCACAGCGCCCAATCATTACATGTGTCTCTGGCGTTGAAGTTGTACGGGAATGAATACAGCATAACAGCGTCAATCAAAAGGGGTTGTGTGCGGGACAAGAAGGTATTATTTTTCGCCTTGTTTTTCCTTCTTCCCTTTTCTTTTTTAGCGAGCTTTACTGCTCACGCTGAAAACCAGGTCCAGCATCCCTGTTACATAGAATACTTGCTCCGTGCTTCCTTCCATTATGTCTGAAAAGGATCCTGAGACAGCAGCATGGATAGATTTCCTTCTCAAGAAAGGATTTACCACTGTTCTGCCCCTGCAAGAAGGCCCTCCATTCATGTGACCAACCCCACTTGGCTGGAGAGCGAGTCCAGCATATCCGATGGAGCCCGGTCCAGCATCCCTATCCCCTGCTAGGCTGCTATACATCCTCACTAAATTCTGGGTAGGTGTCCTTTTCCTTTTCCTTGTTCTTTTCGCGCGTGAGCTGGAAAGAAAGCAACATAGTTCAGGAGCATTTGTGCAGTGGTCAGTGGCTGAGCAGCATGGGTAGACCAGATGCACTGCATTCATCAGAGGGTGGATAGACCAGGTGCACTGCATTCATTAGAGAGGGTGGGTAGATCAGATGCACTGCATTCATTAGAGGGTCCCAATGGATGCTTATAAATTGCAGCATTACGCTTTGTTCACTGCATCTGGGCTGGGAAATTTTGGAAGTTTGGGTGCAAATATGCTTTGTTCACTGCATTTGGAAGTTTGGGTGCAAACTTGAAATTTGTGCAGATGACTAAACCAAGATTTGCATGGTGTGCATTCTACATTGAAGCTTCCTGATTGGTGCGTG